TGTTACCGAGCGCCGCCGCTAACCCGCCGCTAACCCGCCGCTAACCCGCCGCCAAACCGCCACCAAGCTGCCCTCCTGTCTTCAGCAGCAGGGTGGGGAGGGGGGAGGTTGTGGCTACAGGAATAGAGCCTGAGGGGGCGGAGGCGGCCGAGGGGCCCGGCGGGACCGCAGGCGTGGGCCGCTGGATCGATACGGAGAGAAACTCTGTCCACCTCTGGGGCACAAAACCTCATCCAGACAAATTAATACCTACAAGAAAAACTAACTTGTAAGTAACTTTTCATGTTTACAAGAGTTTCTTAAAGTTAATAACAGCTAAATATTGTTGTTCTTAAAAAGCAGCAGCTCAACTTATAAAACTGCAAAATGTTGTAAATAAAATGTTCATAAAATGTTATCATATTAAATATGACTGAATAGAAATTTTACTTCCACATTTAGCGCCTGGATGTGCATTCCCACCAGATGTTTGCTAACTGCTGCTGGCTAGTCTGAAGGAATGGTTGCCATGGAGATGAAGTGATGCAAGAATCAAAGCAAGACTCCAAGTTTGTTTTTGATGAGAGAAAAACGTTATGATGGAAAGTTTTCTAAAATCGACTATAGAATTATTCGATCAATAACTAGTTTTATAAATGACTGACCTCAGATTAAACCTACATGTTGCTGAAAAGTTTCTTACCAATTATTCCAAGTGAACTAAGACATTTGCAAAACAAACTATATTTGGTAATATTCTGTGTTTTTGCAGTGCAGCTGCTGATCTTCTGATGTTTCAGAAACCAGTTGGATTCTGACAGAATCCAAACAAACCGGGTCCTACTGGGTCAGAGGTCACCGACCGACCAAACTCACAACTGCAAGGTGAGTTCTGGACTCAACTTTTCATCCAATCAGAGTCAACTCTGCCTTGTTGCTAGGCAGAAGAAAATGACTGAACCTTTGTGGATCTTTCCCCACAGGAGCAGCAGAACTTCTCTGGTGTCGGATCAGAACCAGAGCATTTCCCGCCTCGCTCTCCGTTGGTTCCATCGATCGGATCCGGTGTCAACACCGTTAATTCATTCTGTGTCAATAAAGCTGTTTGTGGGTCAATATTCCTGCACTTCCTCCTCCATCATGCAGCTCATCATGGCTGTTTGGTTCTGACCCGATTCCAGAGCCAACAGACCCCAGACACACCTGGGCTCATTCAACAAAAACACACCAGAACCAGAACCGCACAGAAAAATGACTGAGACACCTCAGTCAAGGTCAAAGGTCATGATCCAACCATCAGAGAGACTCCATGAACCAGAACCACTGCTGGCCCGGAAGAACACCAAGGCGGGCCTTCATGGAGAATCTGAGTCCAGTTTCATCTGGAGTGGAACTAACAGAACCCAACAAAACATGGTGGTGGCAGCATGATGCTGAGGGCCTGCTCTGGGTGTAACTGATCCATTCTTCACGTTTTTCATGATTTGTAGAAATTCAAAACAATCACAGAAACGGCGAGTTCATGCAATGCCAACTCCCACCAGCAGGTGGCAGCGTCTCCAACTTCTACGTCCAAAATCAGAGTCAATAATGATGAATCAACCGGAGCCGTGAGGGGAGCGGCATCATGAGGAGGAGGAGCATCATGAGGAGGAGCGGCATCATGAGGAGGAGCGGCATCATGAGGAGGAGCGGCATCATGAGGAGGAGCAGCATCATGAGGAAGAGCGGCATCATGAGGAGGAGCAGCATCATGAGGAGGAGGAGCATCATGAGGAGGAGCAGCATCAGGTGGCAGAGCGGCATCATGAGGAGGAGCAGCATCAGGAGGAGGAGCAGCATCATGAGGAGGAGCAGCATCATGAGGTGGAGCAGCATCAGGAGGAGGAGCAGCATCATGAGGAGGAGCAGCATCAGGAGGCAGAGGCATCATGAGACGGAGCGGCACCAGGAGCGGCACCAGGAGCAGCATCATGAGGCGGAGCAGCATCAGGAGGAGGAGCAGCATCATGAGCAGCATCAGGAGGATGAAATGAGACTTTCATCCATGTATAAAACGAATTATTGTTTCTGCTCCCAGCGAACGTTCAGGACGAATCTGAATCGACATGTCGGCCATCTTGGCGTGGGCTGCAGCAGAAGGTCGGACTGTCCAACAGCCTTCTCCCTCAGCGTTCCCGCTCTGAGCCGAAGAGAGAGAGGAGGATTGTGGGTAATGTGTTCTCATTAACACCGTGTGACAGCAGCGTTCTCCGTTCTGCTGCTGCGACCCGGTTCTCCCTCTGGGATCGATAAAGTTCATCTCCAGCGTGGGCCGATCCGGGCGCCGCCTGCGCCGCGTTCCCGGCAACATGTGATGAAGATGAAGATGGAGAGGAAGATTTACAGCAGGACTCGGAGGGCAGACAAAACCGGGACAGAAACAGTTTGACCCAGAGACGACATGAAACCTGAAGCTTCAGAAAGTTTAGTGGAGGAAGACAGAGAGGAAATGAAGAGCCAGGTCTGGACGAACGGACCTGAGTCCAGGCAGCCATTTTACTAAATCAATGTTGCCTTCAGTTATAAAAATGTTTTACGTACCAAACATGACTGAAAAGAAATTTGACATTGAAATTGGGTCTCTGTCCCTTTAAGGTCCTGCTCTTTCTGAAACTGCGCCTCCAGGAAGTCGTCCCAAAATGGCTCCTCTATTAATCCTTTAACAACCTTTTCACCTGTGTTGCTCTGAGCAGCAGCTCAGCAGTTCCACCAGCGGTTTGCTAATTGCTGATGGCTAGTCTGAAGGAGCTGAGTGGGGGCGGAGCTGCGCCTCGAAGGCGGGGCTAGGTCCACCCAGACATTTTAACAGCGACTGACAGAAAAGAATCAAAGCAACACTCAAGGGTAAAACATTAAAACATGATGGAAATATAAAATAAAGTTTATTTTAAATGATGCTGTCACTTTAAAAAACATCAAATAAGTTTGGTGACCAGCCTGTAGCTAAAAATCCTTCATGCTAACCACCAAATGTTACAATGTAAAAACAAAACCCATCACATCAACATCAGTCTAAGATCAGAGAAACTTCCAGCCTCAGTTAGAGGTCAAAGGTCATGACTTGATGTCAACAGGGCTGCATCATGAGACCCAAACCCCTCCCACCATCAGCCCCGCACAGCGGTGGAGGGGTGTTGATGTGGGCTGGAAATGGAGCGCGCCCAGCAGAGAGAAGCAGCTCCACTTAGAGCAGCGATACTGAAACCAGGCGGCTTATCGATCCGTGTTGCTTTCAGCGTAATGTTTCATCCATTTAGATCAGAGTCAGAGTGTGTGTGTGTGTGTGTGCGCGTGCGTGCGTGTGTGTGTGTCTGTGCGTGTGTGTGGGCGGTCAGCCTGCAGGTGCATCGACACGCCGAACCCAGACAGACAGCAGCAGCAAACTGATTTAATGAAACACGAAGCGTTTGGAGCATCAACATGGCAACCAGCGGCCGGCTAATGGAATGATGGATTCGGCTGCGTGACGCGGCGTGTTCCTGGAAAACCTGCCCGTCCGCCGGCCGGCCGTCTCCTCACGCCGCGGCGGCCATCTTTCTTCCTGACTGCTGCGATGACAGCGGAGTCTTTCTGAGAACAAGCCGGGTCAACGATGATTGAAGACGCAGCTTCCCACCTTCCTCTGCTGCTGGGCGCCAGCAAGGCAGAAACAGAAACAACAGATTTTCCAGCAGAACCAGTCAGCGGATCGGACCCGGTCCGAACCCGGTCCGAACCCGGTCCGAACCCGGTCCGATCGCAGCGGCCTGGACGAGTTCAGGGACGGCAGAATGAACAGAACAGGTCAGACGTCCTGCAGCCAATCATCTAAAGTTTTGCAAAAACACAAGGAAGGAGCAAATGACAACATGCAGAACCAGAACCAAAACCAGAACCAGAACCAGAACCAAAACCAAAGTGTTTCCAGTTCAGTTTTACCAAATTAAATCATTCCTCTGCCACTAGCTAGCCTTTGACGGGGTCAAAGGTTAAGCTAGCGGCTCGTTTCCTCCAATCAGGCGGCCCAACTCTACAGAGCAGATATGCTCAGTGATTTCTCAGAGAGCTCCCCCTGGTGTTGGGGTCAGGCGCTGCTTCGTCTCTTGTTCACAGATCTTTGGACTGGGCTGAACTTTTCCAGTTTTCCTGTTGGGAATTTGTTTCGTTTCCAGGAATGTTAAACTCTGAGGGGAACCGTGTTCATGAATCAGTCTCATCAGGTCCAAACCGGACATGACTCCGGCCCTGCGGCCGCCGTCGGCTCCTCCTATCACTTCCTGTCAGCTCTCAACAACTTCCTGACGGTGACCTCAGAGGTCACATGTTACACGGCGACATCACGCCGCTAACGAGCTTCCCAACGAGGCAGGCTGTCGCTCCGCGTCAGCAGGACGTTTGCTGCTCTGCAGACGATTTATAGGTCACCTCTTCCTCTGGAAGAGCAGGAGAACCTCCGGTTCTGGCTCCGGTTCTGGCTCTGGTTCTGGCTCCGGTTCTGGCTCCGGCTCCGGTTCTGATTACGGTTGTGATTACGGTTCCGGCTCTGGTTCTACAGAGTCTCCATGCTGTCCAGGTGCATGCTGGGTGTTCACCAGGTACTCCAGCTGCAGGATGTTTAGTTTTTCAATCCAGACGTTCCTTCACTGAACATTAAATCTCCATGGTAACCAGAAAAGGTCAAAACCACTTCAGAATTAAAACAGTAAAAAATAATAAAAAAGTCTAAAGAAGCTGCTGCAGATGGTAAAGCTTCAGAATCTGCAGCGACAAAAAACACCAGACCCTCCACTCAAACCGAACCTGCAGCTGATCAACCTGATCAACCTGATCAACCTGATCAACCTGCAGCTGATCAACCTGATCAACCTGATCAACCTGCAGCTGATCAACCTGATCAACCTGATCAACCTACAGCTGATCAACCTGATCAACCTGATCAACCTGATCAACCTGCAGCTGATCAACCTGATCAACCGATCAACCTGCAGCTCAGCCTGCATCGCCGCCGCCGCTCGGCCAATCAGCATCTCTCATGAGAACAAGGCGGCGGTGCAGAGCGCCGTCATGGCTGCTGATTCCTCCAGCGGTTTGACTCGATCGGATCGGTCCGACCTGACAGAACAAACGCCCACAGGACTCATCGCTCTGACTTAAAGCTGAGTCACAGACAGGGTCAAAGGTTAAACACAGTCATCAGGACACCGATGAAGGTCAGCAGACCCAGTGCTCGTCATCAGATGGAGAGAAAACTTCAGTAAGTTCTGCTCTAATTTATCCATCTCTCCTTTTCTTCTTCTTGGGTCGAAATAAATACGTTCAGAGTTTCTTCCTTCAGATCAGTCCTGATACTTCCTGTGAAGCAGGAGTCCTCTAACGGACCAGAACCGGACCAGGATGAAACCAGGAGGAGAGCAGGAAGTGCGTTCTCCTGGCTCTCGCTGCTGATTTATTGCTGGTATTACGGAACATTTTCCCAGCAGCTACATATTAACGGATCCTCCAACAAATTAGGACGACGGCAGCAGAACGGAAACCCTGGAGGCCGGCGGCACATCCGGCGCTCCAGAGGTCACGGCTCCAGAATCCACTAAACGTTACTCAGCGTCTCTGAGCAGCACAAACCGTAAAGTCAGGATGAAACCGGATCCGCGGGAACCCGGACCGGGATCCGCGGGAACCCGGACCGGGATCCGCGGGAACCCGGACGGGATCCGCGGGAACCCGGACCGGGATCCGCGGGAACCCGGACCGGGATCCGCGGGAACCCGGACCGGGATCCGCGGGAACCCGGACCGGGATCCGCGGGAACCCGGACCGGGATCCGCGGGAACCCGGACCGGGATCCGCGGGAACCCGGACCGGGATCCGCGGGAACCCGGACCGGGATCCGCGGGAACCCGGACCGGGATCCGCGGGAACCCGGACCGGGATCCGCGGGAACCCGGACCGGGATCCGCGGAACCCGGACCGGGATCCGCGGGAACCCGGACCGGGATCCGCGGGAACCCGGACCGGACAGATTCTGATCTGCAGGTCTGGGAGTTCAACGTGATTTTAGAGAAAATATGAGAAGTGTGATGAGATGCGGAGCATTTTTGATAATTAATGTTCTGAAACTTCTTGGAATGAATCAATAAATGGTTCATTTAACTCCAAACCTTCAGTTTGACCCATTTTATAAAAGAGTCCTAGAAACAGAACCTATAGAAACATTGAACCGAACCATCCATCCATCTGGACCTGAACCGGTTCCGACAGGCGGCTTGGACTCACCCTGCGTCGCTGCTGTTTCCACAGATTAAGGCATCCTTGGCTCCTTCCACTTTGTAGAAATTATCTGGAAGAGAAGAAGATCAGAGCTGAGAACTGTTTCCTGTTCATAAGAACTGCTTCCTGTTCATAAGAACTGTTTCCTGTTCATAAGAACTGTTTCCTGTTCATAAGAACTGCTTCCTGTTCATAAGAACTGCTTCCTGTTCATAAGAACTGCTTCCTGTTCATAAGAACTGTTTCCTGTTCATAAGAACTGCTTCCTGTTCATAAGAACTGTTTCTGTTCATAAGAACTGCTTCCTCTTCATAAGAACTGCTTCCTGTTCATAAGAACTGTTTCCTGTTCATAAGAACTGTTTTCTGTTCATAAGAACTGTTTCCTGTTCATAAGAACTGCTTCCTCTTCATAAGAACTGCTTCCTGTTCATAAGAACTGCTTCCTGTTCATAAGAACTGCTTCTCGTTCATAAGAACTGCTTCCTGTTCATAAGAACTGTTTCCTGTTCATAAGAACTGTTTCCTGTTTATAAGAACTGTTTCCTGTTCGTAAGAACTGTTTCCTGTTCGTAAGAACTGTTTCCTGTTCGTAAGAACTGTTTCCTGTTTTATGCAAATAAGCTTCTGCTGGCCACGCCCCCTCCCAGTGTTTTCTGGTTATACAAGTGAAAATGGCAGCAACAGTCAGTTATATAACTGATCATCTGTTTCAGAGCCAGAAGTGGCGCCCCCTGCAGTTTCAGGTAGGTTTCAGCTGGTGGTTTAGTAAACGGCTTCTTCTCCAGACACAAACTAAACGATCCTGAGAGTTTTACTGACTGCAGAAGCAGCAGAAACAAAGACAGGATTCTAGGAACCGACTCAATAAACGAGTTTATGTTCACATTTCAATCTGCTGCAAGCAACAGGAAGACCTGCAGCGTCAGGATGTTTCACACCTGGAAACGATTCACAGCTTCACTGGAAAACTGTCTCTTACATCCATATGTTTCTAAGCAAAAGTTGTTTTCCTGACGTGTCCTGCAGACGGGGCGTGAGGCCGTCTGGGCCCGGTTACCGGCGGATCAATACGCTCGTCAGACCGGCTGTTTGGAGCGGCCCATAAAGCCTGAACCATTACAGCAAACACGCTTTGTTAAACATTCATCCAACACTTAGACCCGACCACAGGCCATCTCCCACTGCATCAATACGCTTTAATGTCTGCTGGACCGGCACCAGGGCGGCCCAAACCCACAACCTGACGCTTTACTGGTCGCAAACAAAACCGGTTTGGCTCAGACTGGTTCACATTCAGGGAGTTCAGGAAACTGTTGGGATTGAATAATCTGAGGCTGATTGGGAATGAAATGACAGATTAGGAGCAGGTGAAGCGGATCCGCTCTGCGGTCCGACGCCTGATTCTTCTTCTTCCCTCGGCCGTTTCTGTGGCTGCCATACTGAACGGCTCTCCGTGTTTCAGCTTCTTCTGGGACGTTAATCTGTCCTGTCGTGTTTCCAGCTCCTCTCTCCATGAGTTACATCCAATCTGACAGAACAGTGACAACAGAATTTAAAAAAGTCCAGCAGCCACCGCAACAGAACCGCTCCAGTTTGCTCTGGAGGAGATCTGATGGTCTCTGACGAGTATTGATCATCTGGACACGAAACGTGTTTTAAATTAGACTCTAAATTGGATCTTTAGTCTTTTGTTGTCACAAAAATAATTTACTCCCTTTTATTTAGTTAAATCCAGTTAAAAATACCAAAGCTAGCAGACGCTCAAATGTATTTCAGTAACAAATTATTTAGTGCAAAAACATCTTGAGTTATGAAACAGTTTTATTATTTACAGCAGTAAATACAGACGAGCTCAGCTTGGTTTTGGGATCAATAAAGTTTAATTTTTTAAATTAAACTGCTGGCCTCAGTTTAGCTCTGTGAGCCATAGCTTAGCTAAACTGAGCTAGCCTTAGCCTAGGTTAGCTAAACTGAGATAGCCTTACCCTAGGTTAGCAGGCTTAGCTAAACTGAGCTATCCTTACCCTAGGTTAGCATGCTTAGCTAAACTGAGCTAGCTTTACGGTAGCTTTTTTTTAGCTAGGTTAGCATTAGCTAAATTGAGATAGCCTTACCCTAGGTTAGCATGCTTAGCTAAACTGAGCTAGCTTTACCCTAGGTTAGCATGCTTAGCTAAATTGAGATAGCCTTACCTAGGTTAGCATGCTTAGCTAAACTGAGCTAGCCTTAGCCTAGGTTAGCATAAGGCAAGCTAGCCTCATCCAGGTTTACCTTTATCAGATGGAAAATCATTTATAAATGACTTAAAAGTCAAATATAGCAACGTATAAAAGACACATTTAATGTTTCCTTTAAAACATGAACTGTGTTTTATTCATCTTGACTTTTTGAGAATCTTATTGCTTCTTTGGTTTTCCATGTATTTGACGTTGAATTGCTGATATTTGATTTTGTTTTACATAATGAGTTTCAGCTGAGCGTCACTTTCTGATCAGATTTTATTGAGTTCAGAGGAAACAAACTGCAGCTTGTTGTTCAGCAGTTAAAGAGTCCGTTAACAGAAACAGAGAATTTAAGCTAATTAAAGACAGTGAACTATTTATTCTGTGTGAATGCTGAACGGACGGCGGCTGAAACAAAGGAAACGTTGGAGTCTCTCTGCGGCTCCCAGGGAGAACAAAGCCGTGTTTGCCTCCACTTAATGGCATCACCTGATGTTCAGCTCATGTTCTTCGTCACCAGATGAATGCATATTAGCACTCGCTCTGACATTAATAAAAAGATTCATTTTTCCCAAAGAGACCACCATCTGGGAAGATTTCACTGAGCTGCAGAAATGTAGAAAATTGTCTCAACGGGACGCCTGAAGGAGAGCGCCTAATTTCATTCCTCTTTAAAAACTCAAGAGCAGCAAATTATCCTGTCAGGGATGAATAAACCTCTGTCCTCCGCCGCAGCGTTTTCATCAGCACAAGATAAATTTACAGAGAAAATCTGCCGCTTTGACACGCACAGCAGGAAGAGTTATGGTCCGAAGTGAATTATCCGGCGGTTTGTTCATCAGCAGGAAGGGACCAGTCAAAGCACCGGCGGTCCAGGTGGTTCTGCCTCATCCATCAGAGCACAACGTCCAGAACCAATCGGATCATGAGTTTATCAGAACCGATCACCTGGTAAGACACAACCCGCCCTGTAACCCGACCCACCTGCTGACTCAGCACAACCAAAGCCTGATGGGAAACGTTGGGAGAAAACGCGTTACATTGATCGGCAGATTGAGGCTGATCAGCGCAGAGGACGGACCGGACCGGATCGGATCGGACCGGACCGGGCTGGGCTGGGCAGGGTTGCGCCGCCCGCGCCTCTCGGTTTCACAGCAGCTTTTAGGGGTCGATACGGCAACCCGCAGGGGACAATTATTTGTTGTGATGGATGCAGAGGTAAACTGGGAGCGAACATTTAGAAGGTGCATTAGTGAGGAGAAGCGTGTCCTGACATCCACCTTTACTGTAAACTTCATCTGGATTCACTCAACACAACATGAACTTTTTACCCTGGAGGCTGCCGGTTCAATTCCCTGATTCACCGTCATCACAGGGAACAGGAAGTTGAGGCTCAACTTCCTGTTTCCATCACAGGGAACAGGAAGCTGAGGCTCAACTTCCTGTTTCCATCACTGGGAACAGGAAGCTGAGGCTCAACTTCCTGTTTCCATCACTGGGAACAGGAAGCTGAGGCTCAACTTCCTGTTTCCATCACTGGGAACAGGAAGCTGAGGCTCAACTTCTTGTTTCCATCACGGGAACAGGAAGTTGAGGCACAACTTCCTGTTTCCATCACAGGGAACAGGAAGCTGAGGCTCAACTTCCTGTTTCCATCACTGGGAACAGGAAGTTGAGGCAGTTTGCTGCTCTGCAGCTTCAGGTGAGTCAGTTTACAAGTCGTTTACTGGAACAAATTTAGTTTGTCATTTTTACTTTCACTACGACTCAAAACGTTCAGCACTTGACGATAATCTAGCGGTCAGCAGCTTCCGGCCGATCTGACCGTCGTCTGGGGACAAATGAAGGAGGCGGCCATGTTTTCCAGGCCAGATCTGGAGAAAAGGAGCGAACAGGAAACGACTCAGAGAGCAGGAGCCCTCACAGGAATCAATGTCCCAACACAGAAACCATCAGCTCCATCTCAGATTCAGGCCTCAGTCTGCAGGTCAAATGTCACACTCGCAGGAGAAACAATATGGCGCCATGTAAAGCAGCAAAAGCCTTTGAAACTGAGACGTTTATCTAGAAAAGTCGAGTTTGGAGACCAAACTGAAAAGAACAGCAAAATGAAAACTCAAACCAACCGTTCAGCTCGGTGGAGGAGGAGTCATGATGTGGGCTCGTTTCACAGTCCCCAGAACCAGGAGCCTTGTAGTCAAAGGTAACTTAAAATGTAAAGAATTAAGCTGTTTCAATGGCCTAGTCAAAGTCCAAACATGCCATGTGGTTTGATTGTTCCTGGGAAGCCAGATTCAGTCCATCTTTAAACGTCATGAGGTCAAAATAAACAGCGGTGAGTTTTGACCTAATAATGAGAGAAATTAGTGAATAAAGTGATTTATTGACTGATGGAAAGTCTCTGCTTGACTCATTAAAGTCTTTGTGTCGAGTCTGAAGTGGAATAAAGGGACTGACTGTGGAGAGTCTGTGGAAATATTCAGTCTTTGTTTGGTGTTTACCTGAACGTCTGACCTGATGCTAGCAGCAGCAGCTGGGCCTTTCATTTGAAAACATCCAGCCTGATAAATGAGCTGCAGATCAGAGACTCATAAACAACACAAGACAAAGAGATTCATTTTTATTATTCTGTTTCTGGAACCGTTTTCACTGAAATGTTCTGGGAATCTCAGCAGGAGAATCTCAGTAACAGAAACGATGAACAGAAAATGAACGACAGTAACTGTTCAGTTCAATGACCTAAATGCAGCTTAAACTTTATTTCAAACACTATTTAATTATTATTTTGGGGATTTTTTTAATAGATTCAGCCAATAAAATGGTGACAACTGCTTTTATGAAAAGCTATGTTAAGAATAATTTAGCTGAAGTGAAATAAGAGAGGAAGAGCTAAGCTAAGGTAAACTAAGCTAAGCTATGTTTAGCTAAGATAATATAACATGAACAAAGCCAAGTAAGTGTAAGCTAAGTTAAGCAAAAAGCTTCGCTATGATAAAAAGGCTAAACGAATTAAAGAAATGCTAAGCTAGGCTAACTAGGTGTGATCAACAGAGCCAATGCTAGTGACGTTTAGGTATGCTAAGCTAATGTTAAATAAGCTGGAATACACTGAGTGAAAACAATGCTAGCTAAAATAAGAAATGTTGTGCTGAAAAGAGCTTAACTGGGAATGAGAAGTAAATAAAATACACTCGGCTAAAGCTAAGCTAACAACTGGGCTAAAATACATCAATCTAAGGTTGTGTCCAAACTCAGGGTTCCATCCGTAAAACGATCCGTAATGATATTAAAAGTGACAAAGACCAACTTAACCGCTGAGCTGTTAGCTTCCCCTCAGCCTGCAATGCATCCTGGGATACGCTGCGCTCTGAGCATCACACCGGACCCGAAACATGGAGGAGATTTACAGCCGTCGTCACGTCGGCCTGTCAGCGACGCAGCCGCTGTTTTTATAGCTTTATGGTTTTATCAACTCGGAGGGAAATTAATGTGTTTAAGACTCAATTCACAGAATTTGTTTTCCAACGTAAAAGTGAAATTTTATTTTTGTGCCACAATGTTGGGAACAAAGAGGTTCTGATGTAAAACTGATTATTCCTTGAATTTAGGAGCCTTTGATGCCTGGTGTGGAGATTAGAGTGTAAAAAACTCCTAAAATACAGAAATAACTATTCAAGTAAAACACCTTCATAAAGCCTGGAGAATAAGAAATAAAGATAATTGTTTTAAAAGGTAAATGAAGCTGTGAATGGATGAATAATAAAAATAAAAATTATGAATCAGGAGAATTAATCTGTCCATAAAACCAACAGTCTGTGATCCACATGATGGAGAACCTGCAGACTGTGTGTGTGTGTGTGTGTGTGTGTGTGTGTGTGTGTGTGTGTGTGTGTGTGTGTGTGTGTGTGTGTGTGTGTCCAACAGGAAGTTCTGACCCCACCATCCCGACTCACCTTCGTCTTCGATGAAGTCCTTGATGGAGGCCCAGGTCTGTTATTGCAGAAGAAGGAGGTGTTGGCCGGCAGGCTGCCGTTGATGCAGTGCTCCGTGCTGCGGACGCATTTGTCGCAGGTTTCCCATGAACAGCTGCAGGCCGATGAGGGCGAAGACGCTCAGGCAGAAAACGGTGAGGATCATGACGTCAGCGAGTTTCTTCACCGACTGGATCAGAGCGCCGACGATGGTCTTCAGGCCTGAGGAGCGCCGCGGGGCCAGTTAATACTTTATAGCCGCTTCTAAACCACAACGTCACACAGCAGGACAAGATGGCCGCCCTCTGATGCATGTTGAAACACAAACTCAGTCACACGCTGGAGGATGAATTTGATCCAACAGGGAAGGTTTGAGTTTTTCCCTCCTGACAGTCTGATGGACTCGGTCCTATTGGGTCCAAAGCTTCAACAGCTGTCCATTTCTGCTTCTAGTGCTAGGCTAACATGTTAGCTTTGGTTGTATTTACCCAGAATGCCCCGCATTATAGTCCACTTCCTGCTTTTGGAGCAGTCTCTGGTCCATTTGGCGTTCACATTAAACCAAATCAAAGTTCACTTCAACCAAACCCAGGCTGAGGTCAGAGGTCGATTAGCGTTCACACCTCACCAACCGGACCGGACTTTCTAGTTCAGGGGTGTCCAAAGTGTGGCCCGGGGCCCATTTGTGGCCCTTAGAGTGATTTCCTGCAGCCCTTCAGCACCAAACAAAAATGGTACCGAAACCATCAGGAGGGATTTTGGAAGGTCAGGATTTTAGCAAAGGGCGGCCATCTTATTCATGCTCAGAAACAAATCATGCATTAATAAATGAATAAAAGGGTAAATAAGACATTCCTCCTGCTGAAAATCACCAACTTCACCCTCTAACAAACTCCTGAAGTTACAGTGAGACACACAGGAAGTGGGTCAGAACAACAGGAACAAACACTGAGAACTGAACAGAGGGAGCAGACGAGCTGACAGCCGTCCAAACGTTACCGTGTCACAAACTCCTCCGTTTCCAGGGTTTGAATGTTGTTCAGCTGCTTCATTACAAACAGACCTGACCCTGTTTCCAGTGAGCCAATGACTGTGGTGCTGAACAGTTACAACAGAACCACAGAGGAACAACAAGGCGCCTCGCTGACATGCAGAGTGGACACACAGAACGACCCGAAACTTCTGCACGGCGACACCATCACTGACTCACTCTCACTTCTACCAGAGGGGAAACATCTACAGTCTCAGATAAATAGCAACATTTAGCATCCAAACTACACTCAAACGTTTCTGCTTCAGTTTTATGACATTTTGTCTCAAACAACAAACTGAAAATGATTTTAATGTGAACCATCAAAACCTCCCAGTAGAGATTATTAACTGGATCCCAACATAGAAAACATCAGGAGTGAGGTTCGCTTCAAGCCCAGTGGAATTGTGGGAAATGAAGGAATCTGTCACAGAAAATGTCGGAAATGTTTACGCTCCACTTTGAAATCTCAACCTAACTTTTATTTTAGTACAGAAAACATCTGGCAGAAAGTTTGTGAACATTTTGGCCAAAACTGTTCAGTCATTAATTTGAGACAGAAACAATCATCCGTATGAAAAGTGTTTCTGGGTTTTGCTAATTCAGATTTAAGATCCTACATTTGGAGCTGGTCCTTCTCTTCCTCTGGTTCTCTGCTGTCCACTCAAACAGTGTCAATAAGCGCCTCTCGTTTCTGCATACTGCCTCTGAGCTCATTTCCAGGAATGACAAAGCAGATGGATGAGCTTCAGCAGGGAGTATGCAGCAGGAGATATGAAACACAGCCACTTATTTCTAGCAGCTCGGCGGGTCAGGAGGCGGCTCCGTTTCCCTCGTGTTTCTCACCTGGGATGACTGAGATGGTTTTGAGCGCGCGCAGCACCCTGAACGTCCTTAAGGCTGACACATTACCCAGGTCCACAAACTCAGTGACATATCTGCAACAAGCCAGGAGACAGAAGCACAGAAACAGACACACAGAAGGATGTGACCACACGGAGCAACGAGCCGACACGCAGGGAGAATCAGAGAGACGCAGATCCAGGCAGAGACAGGAAAAGCTGTGGAGCCTCTGGAGCCACAGGAGGAGAAATCAGACAGGAAAGCTTCACACCATCCAGACTGGAGAAATGTTCACCACAGGCCGACAGTTTCATCCTCAGAAATTTAGATTCACAGCAGATGTCTCAACTTTTGTTTGCTTTTGGTATGCTGGTCAGATCAGGATAGTTTTGTTATTTGCTGCTTGTTTTGTGAGCTAGCAAATGGCTAATTAGCAGGATTACTAAAAATGTTAGCTCCTTTTTATTTATTCATATTAAGTCAGATGTGCTGGAAGAAACAAGTTATTAACATTTTATAATTAATAAAAAATACCTAGCGAATATTGCAGTTAGCATGCTAACTATGATAATTAGCATAAAATCATAGCGTATGATGTTCTGTTTAAATGTTCCTGCTAGCTTAAACAGCAAAGTAACACTATATTTGGGATTTGTTGTTCACTTTAAACTGATAACTGCTGCAGAATATTAAACACCACAAATATCTAGTATAGCAGAAGCTAACCTCATGTATGGAATGAGACAAACTGTTTGAAATGATAATATCTGCCCTTTTTTAATTGTGAACTTAGCTCCATTAGCTCATCAGTATTGTGCTAAGCTAACTCTTTAGCTGGTCATTTCATTGAGCTGTTAGCTAGCTAATTGGCAAAATTCCCCTGAAACATTTCGTTGGAATAAACTGATTTAAAGATTTAGAAAACTTTAATGCAAATTTTAACTGCAAATAAAAACAATGATTGTGCTGGAAAAATGGCAAAATAGATTTTAAAAAAATTATAAAAATAGAAACATTTCATTTAAAGATTGTGTGGATAAAAATTTTGATTCATTATGTATGTGTAAGTATTGAGGTAATCAGATTACATTCCTTTCTTAGCTACTCGCATTTTATTGAATTTTAGCAAACAATTCAAACGTTAGCATCACAAAAGCAAACATTTAAAGGAGTGAAAGGAAAGTTTTGAGTTAATTCCAGAGGTAGAGGAATATTTCCTCCGTTCCCAGCTAATGACCAGGTGCTCAGCTTAGCCTCATCTGACTTTCCCTTCTGTACTGTTCCTTTAAGACAGATCAGGTGACCTGTGACCTCTGACAGGGCGGAGAGTGGGGGGTGAGCAGGTAGGCTGGAGCTGCAGGACATGGCAGACACGGACGGACAGCAGATGACGTTCACGGCTAACTCTCTGGTGCTCTTTGAATGAGCTGCCCATGTCGCCCCCTGGTGGTGAGGCCTTACCTGGGATGACTGAGATAGTTTTCAGGGCTCTCAGCACTCTAAACGTTCGCAGCGCCTGCAGGTTTCCTACTTTGATAAACTCTGTTAACATCCTGCAGGGAGCAGGGCGGTGGTTTCCAACAAATGACAAAAAAAGACAAAGATAAGAAAGTCTGAAAATCCTCTAAATATTCACAATTCTGAGTATAATTTCTAAATGTTTTTCCTCTGATTGGTCATAAAGTAACTTTGACCTGCAGATCAAAGTTTGAGACATAATGAAAGTTACAACTGTCAGTAAAAACGGTGGAGGTCCTATCATGATCTGGGCCAGTAGCTATAGTGGCAGTCATTAACCTTTATGAAATAATTAGATCAATAAATGTCATATAAAAGGCCAGAACATTGACAGACATCACACCGAATACATAAACCGTATTTGCAGTTTCAACATGTTTCAGAGAATATTTTCAACTTTTTGCTTTTAACTTGGCAAAACACAAAGAAACAAAGATCCAAAGTTTTCAAAACATTTCCTGGTTAGTCAGAGAGGAAATTCAGTAATCACATTAAAACTAAAGTAACAGAACATATTATTTTTTCACAAAATGTTTCCTAAATGGGAATATAAGTCAAATTTAGGAAGAATTTACATTTTGAATACTTTGTTATCGAGCAGGTTTTATTTTAGAGCAGTGAGGCTAACATGAGAGTTAGCTTAGCATCAAGAAGAGCCATTATTTTTAAAAGTGATATCAGAAGATTGGAAAATAAAATCATTATGAAGGTAACTGAAGTGTTAATATGTTTGAGAAAAAATAAATTAAAATGTATTTTTAAATACTAAACTATTAAGTTTTCATGCTACCTTTTACTAATCAAGTTTTTTTTGTTTATTTTCACATTTATTATGCTAACGACTGTTAATTTTATGTTTATGACTTTTCTTGCTGTTTTAAAGTGTTAAAAGGCAAACAGGGATTGTTTTTCAGAGGTTAAATAATGTGATGGTGTTGATCTTCTCTGATAGAACCCGGCCCGGCCCGGCCCGGCCCGGCGCCAGGCGACGCCGGCCCGTTGGGCCTCGGTTAAACTCGGTCATCTGATCCTGGAGCTGCTAATGCATCTCCATCACAGCTCGTATTTCAGCAGGTTTGATGCTGCAGTGATGTAATCACAGCGATGGGACCGGTGACAGACGGACCGGTGACAGAGGGACCGTGACAGACGGACCGGTACCACCGCTCCCTAAGCGACCTGGTGACCTTCCTCACCGCGTTCCCACGCTCCTCCCCTCTGACCGGTCCGGGTCTGACCGACCGGGTCAGAGCCAACCTTCCTCCATCAGAGGAGGCATCTTTGAAACATTTCACTTTGCTCGTTCCGCTGCAGGTCGGCCATCACTGCCTGATCCCGAGGTCAAAGGTCAGGCTGAGCCTCAGAGCTGAAGGTGGTTTTTATGTTTGTCAGCTGAGTTCTTCCTTCCGTTCACTTTCTACTGAATTCTGTTCATTTTTATTTATGTCAAAGAATGAACCCAAAATCCTCTAGAGGCCGAATCCCAGAGGAGATAAACATCTCTTATCCCCAACTCCAGTATCGCTCTGGTGATGCAACCAGACAGACTCCAAGAGGAGCAGCAAAAGCAAAGGAGGTGGATCAGCAGAGCTAGCTAAGAAAGGAGGAGTCATCCAGATATTGAGCTGTTAGCACAGCAGCAACAACAGTCTTCAGTCAGAGGGAGCTTCCTGTTGGTTGTGAAACTGACTGCTACTGGACTGGAGACATTTGGACGTCTCAACATTTCGTCTTTTTTAGGGTGAATAAATTTATCTGATTTTTCATCAAAAGTTCGAAGATTCACCATGTCAGAAAGTTCAATTTTTCCTGAATCCGTTTTTATTTGGATCCATTTTCCAGTTTTTTCCACAATCACAGCTTGTTGTTCTAGTGGTTCTGATGGTTCTAGTGGTTCTGATGGTTCTGATGGTTCTGGTGGTTCTGGTGGTTCTGGTGGTTCTGATGATTCTGGTGGTTCTGATGGTTCTGGTGGTTCTGATGGTTCTGATGGTTCTGGTGGTTCTGGTGGTTCTGATGGTTCTGATGGTTCTGATGGTTCTGATGGTTCTGGTGGTTCTGATGGTTCTGATGGTTCTGGTGTTTCTGATGGTTCTGGTGTTTCTGATGGTTCTGGTGGTTCTGGTGGTTCTGATGGTTCTGGTGGTTCTGGTGGTTCTGATGGTTCTGATGGTTCTGATGGTTCTGATGGTTCTGATGGTTCTGGTGTTTCTGATGGTTCTGGTGGTTCTGGTGTTTCTGATGGTTCTGATGGTTCTGGTGGTTCTGATGGTTCTGGTGGTTCTGATGGTTCTGGTGGTTCTGATGGTTCTGATGGTTCTGGTGTTTCTGATGGTTCTGATGGTTCTGGTGTTTCTGATGGTTCTGGTGTTTCTGATGGTTCTGGTGGTTCTGGTGGTTCTGGTGGTTCTGATGGTTCTGGTGGTTCTGGTGGTTCTGATGGTTCTGATGGTTCTGATGGTTCTGGTGTTTCTGATGGTTCTGGTGGTTCTGGTGTTTCTGATGGTTCTGATGGTTCTGGTGGTTCTGATGGTTCTGATGGTTTTGGTGGTTCTGGTGTTTCTGATGGTTCTGGTGGTTCTGGTTGTTCTGATGGTTCTGATGGTTCTGGTGGTTCTGATGGTTTTGATGGTTCTGGAGGTTCTGATGGTTCTGATGGTTCTGAAGGTTCTGATGGTTCTGGTGGTTCTGGTGGTTCTGGTGACGGTTCTGACCCGTTGAAATATTCAGAACCTTTAGGATTTAACCTCTAGTTTTTTGTCTTCCTGTCCAGCATGGACAGTTTTTCCTCAGGAAGTTTTTCTGCCGCCTGTTTTCTTCTTCGGTTCTGAAGTTGTGCAGTCGGGTTTTCCGGACGTTGCAGAATCTTTGAAACTGACCAGAAACTTTTCAAACTGGAGCTTAAAGAGGCGAAACGTCAGAGCAGCTTTCACTTTAATTCCTCCGCAGTAATCCCATCAGGACGACGACAGAGCCGCCGCTCTGCTGGCTCAGCTGCCACCAGCCTGCAGCTCCTTCACAATAAAAGCTCCTGGAAAGTCACTTCCTGTCTCACCTATCCTTTAGTCTGGTTATTTTTATTGTTTCATAAAGTACTAGCAACAAACTCATAATTAATCTTTGTGTCTGCTGTTTTATGTAATGTGTGTAGTTGTGTTTTCTTTCTGTTTCTGTATGGATCACATTCTAGAGGAATAAAAGTAAATTAATATAGAAACGTTTTTTAGTGTTTCGCTCCTGAAACAGGTTTTCTCTGTTAGACTTTAGGATACTTTTAGAAAATTATGATTTTGTTCCAGATGCATTAAGACTAAATATGTTTTCTTCAGTAAAATCGTTCAAGTTTTTTATTTTTCTAAGACTAAGTTAATTGTTTAAGTTTTTTAAGTTGATTTCTATTTATTTCTCTTGATTCTGAGTTTAAGTTTCCAGCTTAATTTCTCAGCCAATTATTTTCTATTTATACTTAGATTCATTTTATTCCAAAATTTTATATTATATTAAATCAGTTGTTGCAACAGATTGAAGCAAAGCCATTTTACTTCTGGGTCTCAGAGTAAAAGGGGGAGGAAAATAAATGCCTGCCACACTTTTCAGACTTTTTTCCATCAAATTCTGTAAACTATGCAGCCTTTTCCATCAGACCCTTCACAATAAAAGCCGCTTAATACATTAAATGTGGGAAAGATTAAAGGGTGTGAATGTTTCTGCTCAGAACGTTCTGGTTCTGGTTCTGGTTCTGGTTCTGGTCGGCCTGACGGCTACAGGAAAACCTTCCTGGACTCTTCCTGGTGTGTAGGTATGTGTGTGCAGGTGTGTGTGTGTGTGTGTGTGTGTGCAGGTGTGTGTGTGTGTGTGTGTAGGTGTGTGTGTGTGCGTGTGTGTAGGTGTGTGTGTGTGTGTGTGTGTAGGTGTGTGTGTGTGTGTGTGTGTAGGTGTGCGTGTGTGCGTGTGTGTAGGTGTGTGTGTGTAGGTGTGTGTGTGTGCGCGTGTGTGTAGGTGTGTGTGTGTGTGTGTGTGCGCGTGTGCGTGTGTGTGTGTGTGTGTGCGTGTGTGTGTGTGTGTGCGTGTGCGTGTGTGTGTGTGTGTGACTCACGCCATCACGATGACGCTGAAGTCCAGCCAGTTCCAGGGGTCCCTCAGGAAGGTGAAGGGCCCCACACAGAAGCCTCTGGCCAGGATCTTGATGACCGACTCGAAGGTGTAAATACCTGTGAAGGTGTACCTGGGCGAGCGAGCGAGAGCAGAGAGAGAGGAGGAGGAATAAATAAGAAACAGACGGATTAATATTGATAAAAGCTTCTGCTGGACATCCTTCACTTATTCATTTTGTCCCAGACATCAAGTGAAGCGGAGGAAGACATGAGACAGAGAGTCATGTTGAGTCAGGCTGAGACTTTAACGGACGGGTCCCTTTAAGGGCCAAAACGCTGCAGCTAGCCTGACAGCGTTAGCGTTAGCCTCAGTTAATCCGAGTCTCTGCTCAGCTGATGGGTTCAGACATGTTTCCTCCAGACTCTGACATTTGCAGCTTGACATTTCTGCTGCACACGATTCACCTCTGAACCGCCTCAGCGCCGCCGCTTCCTGTTCATCACATCTCATCCTCCTCCTCTCGTGTCTGGACGGTTCTACGGTTTACTGGTCCAGTTGGCCGGCTCCGACATGGCCATGAAGCAGCAGTTGGTCAGGATGGTGCACATGATGAACAAACTGAACAAAGTGAGCAGGTTAAGGAGGAACAACGTCTCACATGTAACACAGACCAACAGGAAAACAAAGACCACTCGCACAGTTTGGGGGTGTGTGCGCTCATTTCCAGCTGGGATCCCCAACACAAGAGAAATTCAAAGTTTTCCTTTGGAAGTGGGAAAGTTTTTACTGATGTTTGTTTTTTCTAACAGGAAGCAGGAAGTGAAACCAGCCCAATGCTAGCAGGCCGAGATATTTACAGGCCAGAGGCAACATTCTGTCCTGAGTTACTAACGTATGACAGAACATTCAGAACATTAGAAAGTATAATAATAATAAAATGGAAATCTATTTTCTGATCTAAAACTAAGTCATTCCTTCCAAAGTCAAACTGAACGGAAAAAATTCTGGTTTTTCCAAAAGCTTCAACTTTCAATTCAGAATCCAGCCGTTATTTTTAATTATAATATTAAATATTAACTTTACACAGTAAAAGTCATTAAAACCTCTATATTTTGGGTTTTTCAGTTTGACCAAATGTTGACATTTTGTCCTACATTTAATGTAAATTTATTGGTACTTTAATAAGTCTGTATAGTTTAAATGAAACTACCTGCTGGTCAGTGTAGACATGTGAAATCCTGGTTGTTTTGTTTAACAGCTGATTGCTTTTAGCAGAACATGAATCTATCTGACGTTTCCTCAAACTAAAGGGCTGGTTAGTCATTGGTCCGTCAGACACAAAAAGAAAAACAATTACTCTGATTCAGTCATTTTCTGTAATTTGCAGCTTTTAGTCGCTGAGGTAAAACGTCTTTGGCGTTTTGTTAAAATTCGGGGAACTGCAGTTTTTCTGAGTTTCAGCTAAACTCTGACATGTAAAAGCAGCCGTCTGATTTCAGGCCATCGCTGTGAGGAGTTTACCTTCATTAGAGCTAAATAAAGATGAAGAGTCCTCGCTTCCCTCTGATTCTTGCCACTTTCAATACAGCAAATTAATCTGCCATTAGCGCCCCCCTCGCAGGAGAGCCCACTCTAATCATGTCATAATGGGGAGTGGGAAGTTTCCAAGTGTCAGCAGCAGCAGAACAGGTTAAATATCACCTTCACCTGCCGTGCTGGAGGAGGAAGCCGGCGCAGCCGTCAATCACGGCTATAAATGAATCATAATTATTGTAATTTGGCAGAGGGAACATGCTGCCGGAGCGAGAGCGGCCCAAACTCAAAACTTGTTGACTGAGCGGCGGCTGGCAGCTGGTGAGATAATACGGTTAGCACTCGACAAACAAACGTCCCCACGCCGCGCAGCCAGAGGCTAATTATCAGCTAATGGTAGCCCTGATGCTGTGGCCTCCCAGGCCACTGTACAGCTAATGTCATTACACCTCCCACTTCCTCCACGGGATCCATCTTCTCCCACTGCCTCTTTTCTACTTCTGATTTCCACAGATTCTGCCATCTTTCCGCTCCAGGCGACCCGATCAAGTCCATGTTTACTTCTGGGTTAAAACCATCAACAACCAAGAAACGGGTCAAACTGAACCTTCAGCCGATAAAACAACCCAATTTTATCTGAATGTAGGTGATAAGAGAATCAACCACAGGTAAGATACTGACTAGACATAAGCGCTCAACATAACCCCACTTTGACAAAATCAGTGTTCCTTAAACATACGGCTGATTTTATTGTTGCTGTCTATGTGGATCATAAGTCTGTTAAATCAATCAATCAATCCATCAAATTCAGCCTGGTACTTCAGGTTCTAGCTGCTGGTGTAGCAAAGTGAGTTGCAGTTTTTCCAGGTATTTTTAGGGAACCAGCCCTTTAGGAAGTACTTTAGCTGTAACTAAACCATGCTAAGGTTTAGCCCCGCCCCCTGACAGTGGGCGGAGCCAAGATACACTGAGAGGCGGGGCCAAGTGTTGGCATCCGAATGAGGGAAAACTCCCAGCAGCTTAGCAGCTTCCCAGGCTCTTTAGCGAAAAACAGAAAGTTTTCTGAGTTAAGAGACGTTTACAGGAACGAGTCGCTCTGACTCGCTACCCGGGGCGTGTCTGAGCGAGACGGTTTACCCCCGGTCGGTTAGGCTTGACCCCAACGAAGCTGCTGGACCCCATAGGAAACTAGACTGCAGTGACCACCGTTCAGCCTGAAGGGGGCAGCAGAGAGGGAAGAGCTTTAATGCTAGTTGCTTTATCGAAATGAATTGGCTACAAATAGCAGCCAATTCATTTCCCTTTTCCTGCTCATTCCTACAGTTGGCCACGCCCACCGTGTCCATTGGCTCCGCCCACTTTGCTGGAATTTGTTAGGGGGCGGGGCTAAGCTTTCACAGAGTTTAGATACATTTTAAAATTAAAATATCAAATCATTTTCTCTGGGAAAACGACATTATAATAATAATTATATGACTACTATAATATAATAAATGAGTGCAGTTTTGTTGTTTAGACTTAATCACCTGGTGCCGGTTCTGAAAAGTATAAATATAAACAATAAGCTGAATATTGAGACCCAACGGGTCAGAAAACCTTCGTCATGTTTTCTCATGTGTCTCCATGTTTCCTACTTTAACATGGAGGACCGGTCGTTTTGTTCCGTCCGGTTCTGTGGTTCCGGTTGCCTTCATCAGAACCAGAACCTCCATCCCGGCCGATTGCTTCTCACACCTCCGTAGCCGGGCGGTCCGCGCCGAAGTGACGGACCCGTTTGGATGGGTTCTGTCAGATAAAAGCGGTTCTGATGGAGAATTAGTGAGTGTGTCTGCAGATCACGCCGCAGCCTGTCAGGGTGGCGCCGCCGCGGGCGGGCAGCACTCCAGAACACACTTCATCCAGAGCCTGGACTGGAGGTCCACTTCACACACACACACACACCTACACACACACACACACACACACACACCTACACACACGCACACACACACACACACACCTACACACACACACACACACACACCTACACACACACACACACACACACACACACACACCTACACACACACACACACACACACCTACACACACACACACACACACACACACACACACCTACACCTACACACACACACACACCTACACACACACACATACATACACACCTACACACACTACACACACACACACACACCTACACACACACACACACACCTACACACACACACACACACATACACTACACACACACACACACACACACACACACACACGCGCACACACACACACACACACACACACACACACATACATACACACCTACACACACACACACACACACACACCTACACACCTACACACACACCTACACACACACACACACACCTACACACACACACACACACCTACACACACACACTCCACACCTCGCCGCCGATCCCTGTGACGGCGGCAGCGTGTACAGCGCTGCCGCTTCCAGCTGTAAAAAATAGCCGGTGAGGATGGAGGCAGCGGAGGTGCGAAGTCATGTCTGACATGTTGGTCTAGAGCCAAAGGAGGCGGGGCCAATGGGACAGAACCTTCCGGTGTTGCGCTGTTTTTGCGGTGTTTTTGCTGCGTTTTCTTTGTCCGTCCTGTTAAACGCGTCACAGGAGATTCCTGGCCGTTTGCAGCAGCAGCGGCGATTAAACAGCCTGAGTGACGAATGATGTGTGGGCCTAAAAGCTCTGAGACACTTTTATTCTTCTACATGGGAGCAGCGCTGCCAGCTTTTGTTTTTATTTTAATGAAGTGTAATTTTAAAAGAATCCTCCACATTTTCTTTATCACCCTGGAATTACTTCAACTACATTAACACCATTTAATACAAGTTATCAGCAGAGGAGGGATTTATTATTTTCTCATCATTTCTACCAAGCTGAGCAGACAACCTATAGACAGCTTAGAAAAGCCAAGCAGTGATCCAGACTTTATGTTATCGGGGTAGATCTCAGAAGATATTACCAATAATCTGAATTAAATCAACTGATAGAAAACATAAATACAGAAACACAGAATATAATTTAACATTAAATTAATGTTAATTTAATGAACAAACCGAAGGAAACTGACAAACATTTATTTATGACTCCAGCGACATAAAAATAAATCTGATTAAAAAAGGAGTTAGGGTGAAACTATGCTAACCTAAAATAGCATCTAAATGCTAACATTAGCTTCAGAGGCAAACCAGCCTGCCTGGCCTGTGGGGGCGCTGCACCAACAAACACTGTAGGAAACGACACTAAAACCTCTGAAGACCCTGAGAACACTTCCTGTTTCACCAATGAAACAGATGGAGGCGTCAGAGTTTAGTGATTTCTCTTAGTCTTTGGCTGAAGACCAGGAGCCATTTCTGCTGTTAGCGCTAGACTAGTATGTTAGCTTTGGTTGTATTTACCCAGAATGCCCTGCTGTAGTCCACTTCCTGCTTTTGTTCCACTTGGCGTTCACATAGGAAACCGAACCAGAGTTCACTTC